ACATATGTTTGCATCTGAGCATGGACTGTGCTCACACAGGTAGCTAAGAACTTCTGAGATGTCCTGAGGCATCTATACAAGGCTGGTGGATATGGAAGGCATATTGGAATGTGCAATAAGTAGCCAACTTGGGTCCTTTATATCAGTCTAAGGGTTTGTAATTGTGAGAGCGACACAAACTCTCACTCTTTAAATACAATGATTCATCCACCCGTGGGCTGCTAACATGTGGAATTTCTTTTCCTAATAGTGTTCTCACTATTTCTCTGCGCTGAATCCTATCTTGCCTTGAGGTCTGATCTTGCAGGATCTCTAACCCTAGAAACAGATCCATTGCTCTAGGGTGCAAAATTGTACCCTCAACCAGTAATTTGTGCCTAAGACTTCTATAAAGAGGCTGTAATTATAAGGTTTCAGCTGTTTTCAAGAAGTGTAGTTCCTGACATAAAGCAGACACTGCCACAGACCGTTCCTGCCATCCAGATCTTCTTTTGTAGGACAGCTGGAACATAATTCCCAAGAAGTAACACTTGGAAATGCCTATTAAGTCCATATTGTTATGTTACTGATAGAGTGCTTTCAGACAGGGTGTAAACTGAACTTTTAATGAGTGAGAATAACTGAGTGCAGGAGTTATAACTAATTTCAGAACAGTAACATGACATCTGACCGTAAAAGCTAACTGGTGACTCTATTGGTTGCATAAATGTTTGTTTAGGTATTCCTTGAGGGATCTTTCCTGATAAACTTTATTTTCTGCTAAGTTAATTATAAGTTAGGAAGATCATAATTTAATCAAAGGACAACTCTAGCTATGTTTGACAAGTCAATAACCATTCCACTATAGGTGTGCTTGATAAGTCAATAGTAATTTTTAACTGAATGTCTTAATCACAAGAACTGTTGGAATGGAAGAAGGTAAAATCTAAACTAATTAAGTCTTTCTAATCTAAAAATAAAATTGGATTAAATGCACCATTTTGTTAAAACAATATATTTTTCTGTAAGAGATCGTTCTTGCCATGATTGACCATTCTGATAATAAAGTCAGCAAATATACTATGACTGAAATGAGGAAGACAACATATTGTTAAAAGATGAACTGTCTTCTGTGTAGCTAACAACTTAGTATTTATTCCATACCCCAGGATTAATTGGCATACAGAAGTCTGCCAAAAAACTGTGTAGAATGTCAATGTTTTGTATTTTTCTTAAAGCAGGACATAAAATAATCTTCTAATCTATCATATTAATTCGTGTGTGTGTTTGTGTGTATACATATATATGTAGACACACACACACAGAGATGTATATTTAGCATTTATCTGAATTATGGTGTCATTTATATTATATTATATTCAGTAAGATCAATATGACGGCATAGGCAAATCCCTTCAAGACATTCAAAGCTACCAGGTATAACATTAATAGCTGTGGTGTAAAACCCTTAGGTAATTAGATGACATTCCTTTAAGTACATGCATTTCTAATAATCTGAATGTGTTTCCTTGGACAAAAGCTGTTGCACTGTGGCTTCAATATCTCAGAAAACATTGTCATTATTAAAAAATAAGTTGGTAACAACCATGATACTTAGTCAGGACTAACATCCTTTTCTGTGGTATGTGCCACACAAAGAGCAGTGATAAAATCCAGGATGCAGGTATGCTATCCTTGATTCCTGTTGATGTAATTGCATCTTCAATTTTTTCACTTGTCTCAAAGAAAAATGTCTTTACTAATGACAGGGAAAAAGGTCATTACTAATGACAGAGAAATAGTGAGAAATTCCCGAACATTATCACCGTAAAATGAGTTTCACTTTTGTGCTGAGGCCAACACAGACTGCAATGCCTTAATTTGATGGAATTTTCTTAAAGGTTTTTGTTTACGATGGAGATGTGTAGAGTTTGTATCAATGCCTGCCAATTAAAATAGAGTGTTAGTATGCTCTATGAATATTAGTATAGGTATTAAAATAGAGATAGCAGAGCATTGGATGACACTATTGTGGCAAATAACATAGTGGGTAGGCAGGTAATACAAAAATAAAACAGCATAGATAGACGTAATGTCACATGAGATTTTAATTACTATTTACATTGATTTAATAAAGTTTAAAGTGTATGTCTTTACCAGAGAAAACAGTTAACCAAAATATAAACACTGAAATATCAACTAAATTGGCAGCATGTTTACGTGTTCTTATTGCCTGGACATTGTCGAAGGACCTGAAGTGGCAGAATAAGGGCTCAGAGACACCACATGGGTCTCCCAGGTTAACAAGTTACTCCGTGACAGCTGAGCCTTGCTAACTACCTACCTGTGGGTGGCAAATGCAAGCTGATGTGGTTTATATTAACTGCCCTCAACTGTTGTCTCGGCTAAGACAGATTGCATTGCACCAGCTCCAGGCTAAGTGTGCTTCCCTGGACACCTCAGCCTGCGGCAAATCTTTGAGTCACAGTGACCTGGTTGTGTGCCTGAAGGGATCAGCTGGCATCGTCAAACAAGTCTTGCAGTGATCGCTTAAGACACGCTCAGCCAAAATGATCTGCCTTCCTACATGGCAGTGCTTACTATTCCTGCAGCAGAGCTGCAAATGAGTGGTACCTCCACACCTCCCTGCCCCAGTGCCTTCAGATGACGATGAAGCCAAACCAGTACAGATACATAGTTCAGGACACAGGAGCAGTCCTCCAAAAAGGTGGAGCAAGGCAGGGCTGAGGGCGGTCTCCCGCCTCAGGAGCATTCAGCAGGTGGTATCTATAAAAGCCATGGAGGCAGGAGATCTGGGTACAGCTTTTACTCAGCAAGACACTTCAGTTCATGCTTCACTTTAGCTCAGCAAATCATCCCTCTAAATGCAATGAGGCCTCCTACGTGCTCACCCCACATCTGAATGCCTCGCTGAATGTCTCTCTTATAGCCCTACCACCCTTCCGTGGTGACCTTAATTAAGCCTATGAGGAGCTCATTGTACCAGGGTGTTGCTGGGGCCAAGAATTTATCCAGGTTCAAAGAAGAATTGGAAACTTAAAACAAGTAACACGATTATCCAGAGCTATTATGAAAAAAAAAACCTTTGGAAGAGAGGTAAAGCCTCATGCTTCTGGGTGTAGGCCAATCTCTAACTACACTTACTAACAGCCTAAGACCTCCAGTTACCTAGTATCTGCTTATAGTGATCTTCCATGCACTGCTCGCTGAACACTGGCCATCATCAAAGAAGAATAAAAGATCAGATATAATTTCAACCTCAGCCAAAACACCAATTTCATCATTTCCTAAATTGCCAAACCCTCTCAGCCCGTTCTTTTTTTAACATCTAAAATGGGAAGTCTTCAACTTTAGAGGGGAACTGTCAGTGCTTAGAAGTGCTTGAGCATTGGGTCCTCTCCGAAAACAGCAGTGCTGTGAAGGTAAGATTCATAAACCTCACACTACCAGTAGCAACAATAACAAGCTTGAGTTACACAAAGATAGTAACTGATTGGAGTGAACTGATTTGCTTCTCAAATCGTAGTCTTTTCTGATGTCCGTAGCTAACAAGGCTAAGCTTTTTAAAACTTTATTTCCAAATAAAGGATATAAATGACAGCTTGTTTTTAGAAAGATACTTTAACTTATTGAAAAAAGGCCTTTTAGTAAAAATAAAAAGTTTCAGGGGAAATAAGACATTTTTCTCCTCAAATTACCCATTTCTACTTTGTGTGTGTGTATCTATATGAATTTTGAAGTTTGAGTTTAAAGTTTAATTATGAAAGATTACATAACGTAAGTGTTCTGAATTCTTTGTTTACTAAAATCCAGCTTTTTGGATAGGTGACAAATTTCTAATGCCATTCCGGTGTACATTTGGATAAGAACTCCATCAAATAATATTTCAGTAAGTGTTAAATGTCTTTTCATTTTATCAAGATCATCAATAAACATGAAAATCACTCATGAATGAGTTTCACACAATATTAAAATTCTGGGGGTTTGCTATCAAAACTGTTAAAAGAACCAAAAAACTCTAGGCAGTGGATAGGGGTTTCCAGCTAAGCTGAATAGCTGAAACTGTCACTGTGTTCTTCATTTAAAATATAGGGTCATCACATCAGTGGAATGATTTACTCAAATGTATTCGATTATTTGCAAGTTCATTATCACTTATTTTGGAAAAGAGAGGACTGTTGAGACACTGGCATTCATATGCTCTAATGCTGTTACACTTTCATAACTTCTGATTATCGGAGTCATGGGATAAATCTGGATTTTTTGCATTTTAGAGTCCAGTTGTATGAAAAAACAAAGCATAAGCTGTGTGCTGCATTCAGCAGAAGTGAGCGTGCTTATAGGTACAGACAATCACTGTTATGTTAATGAAATTTAAAAATACATATCTGTTGTAATTAAATTCATACAGCCCTCCTGATGTGGAAACATGAAAAGATGCTTTATATTGCTATAACTGACACTTCTAGGGATATAACTGACTTACATTAATTAAAACCAAATCACACCCTAAGTTAAAGTCACACTGGTTTCATTCTTGCACTTTGATGGAGGTGTGAAACCTCTGAAAGGAGATTTCTACTTTTTTGAAGCGACTGGCATTTCCATGTCTGGAAACAAGCATAGGGTAATAAATTACCACCCCAAGAAAAGAGTGATTAAAAAAAAAGTATGTAAAACTAATGCACAACAGAACTACTGTCCTTCCAGCAAGGAACAAAACAGGGAACAGGACTGTTGCATGAATTTTCCTGCAGTCTGTAGTAGCCAGACTAATCCCAGATACACCTCGTGCTGACCTTTACACACACACACACAAAACTTTCTGGGAGACTTTCTTCTCCCAGTCCCTTGCTTACTTCATCTCCCAGCAGGGCTGTCTGCTGGACCCAGTGATCCTGCTTCCGTACAAAGGGAAAGCCTTCTCTCCTTCCCTCCCCGGTTCCTCACTCCCTCTCTCCCCCTCGGGCTGGCAGGATTCCTCGGGCAGAGCATGCAATCAGTTCACAGGGAGCAGCCACAGCCACAGGAAAGATGCAGAAGCACAATCAGAAGGAGCACCTCTACAAACTGCTGGTGATTGGAGACCTGGGAGTGGGCAAAACCAGCATCATCAAGCGTTATGTCCACCAGAACTTCTCCCCCCACTACCGGGCCACCATTGGGGTGGACTTTGCCTTGAAGGTGCTGAGCTGGGATGCTGAGACTGTGGTACGGCTGCAGCTCTGGGATATTGCGGGTGAGTACAGAGGAGAACGCTTTGCCCCATAACCCACCCAGAGACAACATGAAATTTAGACCCAAATTCATTTGTACTAATCTTTAAGTTAGAAAGTACCAGTGCCTATGCAGTGAGGGAGAGAAAACTTTAAGGGCAAATTGACATTTTGGAGTTTCCCTAAAGCCAGCAGACCCCCAAACAAGGGGTGTCAGAATGAAACCTGCCCTGTCTGATTTTGCTCCCAAGGCCAGGGACACAGGCACCTCTCTCCAAATGCCCCAATTCTTCCCCTGTTGCTTCCCTCATTAGATCTCTGCAATGGAGGGAGAGTAACAAGAATTTCCTGTGACATCTATTTAATTTGGTGGAAGAGATGAGGGATTCAATAAGATGATTAAAATTATTTTTATGGTTTAAAAAATAAGGAAAAAGTATCACTGAGTTACTTTATCAAAATAACTTCCTTCTTTCTTTCCTTCCTCTCTCTCCTACCTTCCTTCCTTCAGCCCAACAAAATGTAAACAACCTCTGACATGCTTTGAAAAGTGCTCCTATTTGGCAATAATCCTATTGTTAAAGTGGATTTACTCGTGTTTACTTGTTGTTCCAACATCAGGCAAAAAAAAAAGATCATTTGTGCAGGCAGAAAAAGAATAAGGAAGTCCAGCTATCCTTGCATGCTTACATAACTGAAAAATACGGAGTTTGACTTTGTTTCTGTCAGTGCTTTGGAGTTTTTATACTTGGCTTCCAATTAAACCCACAAACTTTTTCTTCCACACCCCCCCTTTACTAGGCATTCATAATTTTTGATTCAGTCCACAAAGTAAAAGTTTATCTTCATGGCATATTTTGCATGCTATAAGTGAGCATCTTTCATTCAGTGTACACAGGAATCCAAGTACAACTATAGTACAATAGCTTAAAGGAGGGCATTTTAAAAACTCAATTAAATTTAGAAGTTACATTTGTTAAGTAGGGAATAGAGGTGAAAATTGTCTCAGCTGTTAGGCAACTGTGCCAGCCTATGACCTGAGCTGTGAGTTCAGTGATCTAGTCTGGAACCGCACTGAGTAAAACTAGTGAAATGAGAAAATTCTTGGCATTCTTATTGGCGGAGGGAGTGCCTTTCTTCTACACTTAGCTGCCTCATGTCTGAGCTCTGAATTTGGCACCAAGGCACTAAAACTTATGCAACAACACTGCTTTATGCAAAACATGCATAACCCCAGCTTTTTTGCACATCAGCACAGTCTTGTGGTTTAATGATATTAAATACATATATGCTCAGTTTTCTTTATTAAAAGTTGGAATAATGGAGCAAGCATTGTTTTTATTGCTCACCAGTGACCGATTATAACAATAAATACACAGGCATTCAGAAAAACTTTTCTGCATGAGAAAAAAGCATTTAATAGTAAATTCTGAATCCATCAGGGACTTGAAGAATGTGTTTTGCATGCCTTGTTTCAGAGATTTATTACACTAATAATCATGTGCTGGCAGATCATATGATGTAGCTTTCAGTCAGGCTGCAGAAGCAATTACACCAAGTTGTACTACTGAATGACTAGCATGCTTTCTGAGTTATCACACATGACAGAGAGAATTACAGCATAGTACTAAATTTCATATGAAATGTTCAATTCAAAGCATCTCTGTGAAGGTCAAGATAGTGGCAGGTAATAAAAAGAATTGCTGTCTCAGTTTTAATGACTCCTGTGAAAGGAGCTTTAACTGTTGATGGCTGTACATAGAAAATAAGTTCTGTAAGCAACACACTGAATGCAGATCAACGTGGTGCTGGCATAGAAGTTATCACAATAAGGCATCTGGCTAGTGAGAAAAAACGTTTAAAAATGAAAGTGAAGTAAAACTGATTGAAAATGTGGGGGGAGTGGAAGTGTTTTCACCTGGCTGTGGCTGGTCATACATCACCATGTGCAAAACAGAAATATGCAAGGATAAGAGGGAGGAAAATAAAATGTCTGGTCTCAGAACATCCTCTCTCTTTTGGCAGAATCGCTGTTACTAGGTCATGTTTATCTTTGAGGGTAAAGTGGTAAATTTTCAGTCTCTAACGAAGCTGAAGGACTTTGCCTTAGAATTTTGGACATCTTGAATTGAAGCAAATGCTGCAAATGTATCAATATATGAATATATATGTATATGTGTGTGTGTGCGTGCGCATGTGTGTATACATATATATCAGATATCATTTAGCTCTTACATCCTCTCCTCTCCCTGCATTATGCATCCAGTGAACTTACTACTAAGAACAGTGTATACTCTTTCTTGTACTTCATTGTGCAGATCAGTGGGTAGTAAATTGTTTAGCAATCTAGAAATAATTTTCTCAAAAATGCTTTGAGTAAAACTAGTGTCAGACTTATTTACATTGTTAGTAGGATTTACATACATGATGACTTCATGGGAGGAGTGACATACTCCAGCAGCAGTAGGACCAAGCAGTTTACCCTTACAGACATAAGAAGAAAAAGCAAATTTTGTTCATCTGGTGATATCGTGTTTCATAGTTAAGTGTAGTTTATATTTCTGTAACGTATTTTTCTGTATTCTTTGATTTGGTAAACAAAGCTATAATGATCTGATAGCTGATTGCTGAAACTAGATTTATTTAGATGAGAGATAAATGCTGAATAAGGATAACAACATTAGAAAAAGTAATTCAGGGATAAGGTAGGTTCTCATCACATGTTATTACATTAAGACTTAGGTTTTTTAGCATATAATATATTCCTGAAGCTATAGGTGTTAAACAGGAATAATTGGATGAAACTTTGTAGTTTATGATGTTATGGTATCTGTATCAACACACCAGCATTAAAATCTATGAATTTACGCCTGATTCAGTGAAGTGTCTAAAGTTTCAAGTGACTGAATTTTCACTATTGTGTGATACACACATGGTAAAATTCTCCTTGTCTTTAATTTCCTCCCAACAGTTCCATTTTGTTTCACTGAACGTCCCAAATTCTCACTTTTGGTGTTCACATCCCTGTTAAAGTGTACCATCACCTCTACTGATGTCATACAACTTTAAATCTTGCTCCTCAGTCAATTTTTTCTTGTTTCCTTATATTTTCTGCTGCCTCTGTATGAGTATCCTTTAAATTCATTAGCAGATTTTTAGAAGGAAAGCTTTAAAAGAAAGTCTTGATCATATTTTGAGCAAGGTTGCTGTGGTGGGGGCAGCCCTGCAGATGCAGCCTGGGACTGCTTTTGAAGAAACCAACTATTGCAGACAGCAGATTCGGGTGTATTTACCACTCACTTCTCTGCAAGGCTGCTCTCAGGGCTACTGCCTGTGTTTCGTGTCCACACAGCCCTGAGATTTCTCTGACGATCAGCTTCAGCTGCAGATTTACTGCAGGGAGCAGCCCTGCAAGTGCAGCAGAGGGCAGAGAGCAGCACTTCAGAGCCTTCCCCCTCCCCTGCTACATTTTCACAGTGTCAGCATCGCCGTTATCCCTCCTGCTGCCTATGTGTGGACTGGATTATTTAGTGCTACCAAAAATATGTTGGTTTGCTTTAACAAGGCTGGTTCTCATCGCATAAAGAGTTGGATCAATGCACTGGAGACATCTGTACAATACCAGTGGTGAAAGAACGGTTTCATTTCCTTTCCCTGCAACTTTTGCCTTCGGAAACAGAGGTCTTTGGCAAATGACTCTGTAGTTGTAAAGTTTTTAAGACTGTTATGCTCCAGAAGAAATAAACAGACTGTTCACTAATGCCAGGCACAGCACATCCTCAGCGGTTTAGGTTTTTAGTGGCTGCTAAGCATTGCAGTACATATGCATAAATAAGATAGTCATGGTGATTCCTAGGCTAAGTTACCTTGAAATGTCTGTTCTGCAAACGTAAGTGAATAAGTCCCTGGCTGTGGTGGTTTTATTTCAGTACAGATTTGTGGTGGGATTCACGGGCCTGATCTGGCTGGCAGCCTGCTTTTCCACATTCTGGAGTGGTGAACAGCATCTCAAGGCTTGCTTAAGTTTCAAGGCATAAAAGCAATGACATGAATTCAAAGGTGAAAATTCAGAAAGTTATTTTGAAGTGAAAGGTAAAAAATGTCTAAATCTTCTCCACAATTTCCAGTTTCTCAGTGTTGGCTAAAGGCCCCCTGTAGGGCATGGGGGTTCCCAGAAGCTTTTGCCTTTAGGATGAGGAATGATGGCAAGAAGTAAAGCCCATTGTAAAACTGGGCATTAAGCAGTTTTAATCAATTTTTCTCTTGCACTATATTTCAGATACTGTGGGTGAGATGCTGGAAATTAGCAAAGGTTTAGCACTTTACTATTAGTTTTTATAACTTTATCGGAGGTTATAGTGGTTAGTGAAAATTGTAGATTTCTGTACAAGTCATGCTGGAGAATTTATGTGGGGTGCATTTTTATAAACTATGAAAACTCAGCTGTTGATTGCTTTAAGCGCATGAGATGCTGATACCTTTCTCTGCTACAGAGGTGCCACTGAGATTAGGATAAATGTACAGGCAGGTGCCATTCAAACAGGGAGTCCTTCCCTTTAATGGAAATCTTGTTGCTTTGGCGCCTTGGTCTCACCAGGTTCACTTCAAAGTGAGGTAGGATTCATCTTGTTTAATGACTAGACGTCTTGTGCTGAACCATCTGAATATAAGCTGCACATCCTGGGCTCGCCAGGAGGTTGAGGGTAGAGATTAAATACTGCCATAATGAAATTTATGTGACCACTCTTAGATGTCTGTCCTTGTGGAGAAGATGCCCTCTAGATATCTCTTCTCAGTCTCTGACTACAAAGGGTCCCTAATCTTAGATAAACCCAGTTAATTTTTTTGGAACCTAAAGTAGGGCTGATGAATCCCAACGTAAAGCACCATCTCAGTGGGCAAAGGCCACCAGACGCATGGGTTTTGATGCCAGCTGCAGTGGCCTTGCAAGGGGTGGGGTAAAGTACAATGGGCCAGATCAAACATGCATTTCACAAGTTTCTGACCCTTCCATGAAAAGCAAAAAGCATCTTCCCCGGTCCCTCTTGCAATAAAGCAGGTTCTAATGTTCAAGGCTGCCTGCGAGATACCAGTGAATGCTTAATGGTTGATCTATTTTCTAGCCTAATTACTGCCTAAGCCATTGTGTTGCTCAAAACCTGAGGCCAGATTCTGACACCTTTGATACATCAAACAGTGCTTATTTTCATAAGTAATTCTGCTAAATGAGAAAGTTTTAGGAACCTCATCTATTAAGACAGGTATTTGTTCACAGAAGAGAGAATCTTTGGAAAAGGAAGTGCTCCTGGATCCACAGACACAATATTTAGCTCTCCAAGCACAATGCAAACACTGGAGATCACTGTTTTTCACAATGTAAATTAAATGGAAGTAAAGCCATTATGCAAATGACATGAAACTAAAAGTCTGTTGTTTACAAACCACCTCTTTTTCCATTCAAAGTTGCATAGTATCTTTATGCCAAGTATGTTCGTATATTAATTGCAACCAGTGGGGAAAGACCACTTCAAAAAGGCTTTAGAGACTTTATTCAGCCACCAGCCCCATTCTTTCTCTTTCTTTGAAGTAATTGATAATGGATATTGGTGAATTCTGTCCTCCTGCATAAAGCTGCTTTTACAAACATCGGGGCTTTTCTGTGCAGCGGAAAACTTCAGTATCTGCAAAAGCAGCTGGAAACAGGAGGAGGACTCAGTGTCATACCATTTGCCAGAACTTTGTGGGCCACTACTAGCCAGAAGATCACATCATCAGGGCCTTTTATTCCTCTGATAAATTTGTTTGTGATGAATGATTTTATGCTGCAAAGTAATGATTTAGTTCATGTTCTATGACAACTTCCCACCTGTCTTAGAGATCTATGTCCAAATAAATATGTGTAAGGCCTGAGTTTAGCTGTTCTTACATCACCTACATCTCATCTACAGTGCAAGCATCTCAAGAGCTTTGCATGAGAAATATAAAGTATCACTGAAATACAAGATGCATCGAAACCTATTTGTTCATGCTTCTACTTGCCTCACTGTCGTTTCTAATCAGACCATGACTTTTGTTTGAAGGAACCTTCTTGCAGATGAAAAGAAAAGTGTTAAACAAAGAGACTATTGAATAGCGCATGACTTAGCCATTCATCTGATAAGCCCACCGATAGGAATCATAAGACATTTTAATAAATCACAGCAATAAGAAATTTTCAATATTATTCCATATTTCTCAGAAATTATATATTTCTATCTTGCTTTATCAATGGGTTCCAGTGTTTATTTAAGGTAAAAAAACCAACAGGGATTTGGAGAAGACAGACATAAACTTTTGGTTTCTGGATCATGTGAATGACTCTCTCCTTGCTGAAACAGCTAGTGCATAAAACCAAAGATAAACTTCACAAACAGATGATGTTGACCCCATAAGTGCATTCAGTGCTATTTCCATTAAATGAAACTGCATGGTCTAGAAGCCCAGTAATCAGTACTCTTCAGTTCTCAACCCAGCCTTGCATTTGACAGCACAATTTCCAATAGATAACACCTCCACAGGTAACCTTCCTAGGGTCAGAGGCAGACTGCCAATCTTCTTGTCTACCTAACCTACTCAAAATTATGCACATTGACAAAATAAGGCTAGAAACAGGTTTCCACTCAATATTGTCTATTTTCATAGCACCTTTTCTCAGCTATAGAAGCGTATGGTTTAATACAGGAGTTGTCTTTCTTGAAGACTGCTGTTGTGAGATGTTTCAGGAATTCATAATTCTTCTATTTCGGATCACAACTCAGCAGTAGACATCAATGGAAATTCTCTTTTTTCACTTCAAGAAAAATTCTGTGTAATTTTTTTCCATTCTTGGAAATTTTATTTTCAAAATTCTCATGAAAACAGCATACATATTAACAAACCCACAGCTGATCAACCTGCTACATCCAGACACCCTGTGTTAATTTTTACGGTGTTAATCACATAAAATGATAGCTGTTTACGAATGTCTATATTTGACTATAATAATATATTTTTAGCTCACAAAAATACTGTAAATAACTTCCCAGAAAATACTTTGAATTCAGCAATATAACCATAAAACTTCTGAACACATCTAATGTGAAACATCACCTCCCAGATCTCTTCACTGGAGCAATACAACTCTTCTTATTGCTTCTGCTGTGCTATTTCTTAGAACACTTTCTATGTTTGTAAGGCTTTAAATCCACCTTTCTCACCTCGATGTTTTAGTTTACCAGTAAAAGTAAGTTCATAATGACTCTAATGTGTGGTATGGCTCCGGAGCTTAGTTACTTAACTGTTGATTATTATCACTTGCATGAGAATATGCAGGATCCTCTTCATGCATTAGCAGATTAAGTGTGTTAGATATTTCCCACAAAATACCATAGTATCAAGGAGCTTCCAATCTGGTACCCGGATTTTTTATGACTCCCATTTAAAGTCCTGTAACGCACACCAAGACCCTTGGTACTGCCCACAGATTTAGAAATCTGGCAGCTTAGTAAGACTATACACTGCAGTTCAAGCTTGTCATAAAGTTATTAAATTTCCTTGGATGTTTGCTTTAAAACGCATTTTCATGCTATACTCTCTTGCATTTTCGTACAAATGAGTCTAGCATGGTACTTATTATTATTTAGACAGAGTACCTTTCCAGAGACTTACAAAATGAAATCCTACATTCAGTAATGTTCTTTTAGAAAGCCTGCTGTGTGAAATACTGACCTAGGTTGGAAGCAGTGATTTTTACAAGGTGGTGTTTTTTTTCCCCTCCGACTTTCTTTATCACAGGTCAGGAAAGATTTGGAAACATGACCAGGGTATATTACAGAGAGGCCATGGGGGCATTTATTGTCTTTGATGTTACAAGACCTGCAACGTTTGAAGCAGTGACAAAATGGAAAGAGGATTTGGACTCTAAGTTGGTTCTTCCAAATGGCAAACCAGTGCCGACAGTCCTCTTAGCAAACAAATGCGACCAGGGAATAGATGTTCTTATGAACAACGGCATCAAGATGGATCAGTTCTGCAAAGAGAATGGGTTTGTGGGCTGGTTTGAAACATCAGCCAAGGTAATGTTTCTGTTTCTTTATAAATGTTTCTCCAAGTGCAGAGAAATTGTTTCCTAAAATAGTTCACTCGGTCAAAATGTGTACTTTGCAAAGCTTCTCTCTTGACAGAATGAATTAAAGGTGAATTTGTAAATCAATACCTTTATATTTCTTTTAGGCCTTTTATTGCAAAGCAAATTATATGCAATGTTCTGAAATGCAGCTGCTCTAATATGATAGACCAGCAGTAAAATATGTAAAGGGTCAACAACTTTCTGCGTAATAGCACGAGGAGGAAGATGACCTTTGGCAAGGCACAAAACCTATCTCTTATGAATGATATGCGGTATTTTCCATAATTATTAACAGTGACTGTTATCCCTAAATATTTATATAACCACTTTGCCTGAGAAATGCTGATTTAAGACAATAGATTTATTGCATTAGATTCCAAAAAAAAGTCCAGTCTACCATAGTGCCTGTACGATGCTTACTGTTATAAGCTCTCATTCTCAAGAGCCTTTTCAAAAAAATCACATATCTGGGGAGGAAGGCAAGATCAGTGGTCAAAGTGCCAAATGATCTGCTTTGAGGTACTTGCCTTGGTACAGATTTCCTGGGTGCCCGTAAGAAAATGGATGTAAAAATCAGAAAGGGAGAGTATAAAGGCCCAAGGTACAGTGGTCCAGTAAATAAATTTGAGATTTCTTAGATGATCTCAGTGCATGCAGGATTTGGAGAGCTGGCATGTGAAATATTGATTTGAACACAACAATTCAATTGATATGGTGTTTACTGTATTCTCAGATTATGAAAGCTGGTGTCATCATTAAAAGCTCTGGGGAACGTTTGGATGTTTTAAATCTAAATAGTTTGGCTCTAGTTTGACCTAGATTGTTAGTAGACTGAAAGTCAAAATGCCACATTCAGCTGTTTAGTTTCTTTTAAGCACTTTATGAAAGTTACTTAAGAAACTTTGGAGTGTGTACTTGTATTTTACTTTTCTGGTCTTGACCCCTTCTTTAAGCATTAATATTTAAAAGAACTCTCATTTGCAATTAGCGGAAGTAACAGCAGGTGGCTAGCAGCATGTCCTAGACTTCCTCAAGCGCTGCATGAGCTCTGGGCTGAGGTTGCAGCATTTCAATACTGAAAGGGGGCTTATAAGAAAGATGGGGACAAACGTTTTAGCTGGGCCTGTTTGATAGGACAAAAGGTAATGTTCTTAAGCTAAAAGAAGGTTGATTTAGACTAGATATGAGGAAAAAATTTTTACAATGAAGGAGGTGAAACAGTGGAACAGGCTGCCCAGAGAGGTGGTAGATGCTGTGTCCCTGAAAACATTCAAGGTCAGGTTGGACG